TTCAGACTTTCGTGGCATCACTCCAAACTATGACTGCAAAAACACTTATTCTAACACCATATCTTACCACAATAACAAGTCATTTATTCATTAATTTATTTTGTTTTATTTCTATTACTCATTTTGGGATATATACATAATTGTTTATACTTGTTCTGTGTTAAGCTACTTACGTACTTCGCGTCTCCTTTATTTCTATTTCCTTAGTTTCTTCCTTTCCTCCTTCAAAATCACTTCGAAATTCTTGCCAATTACGTGGAACCTGATTTATTATTACTATTCTATTATCATTATTTTATTTACCTTTTCTTTCCTTTCTCAAACATGGCAAATGTAATGCTAACATTATTAAAACCTGTGTATTATTGCATTTTTGAAGAAACCCAAAATTGTTTCTTCACAACACTTATGTACCCATAAGATGCTTGTGAATAATAATAATAATAATAACAATAATAATACAGGGGAACCTCCAGTATAGCATATATATCCCATCGATTCTGACGGTACACTATGGACAAGTGAAGTGTTAATCTGAAAGGAAAAAAGAATACAACAAAGTGAGAATGAAACGGCCTGTAATAATCTACATACAACACTTCAAATGTAGAACTTACTGTGATATTCTTAGCACTTGCAAGCATAGTTGAAAATCGGAGATAAACAGTCACTAATGGATTTCATTAGATACTATGAATCGAAAATATGACCATGCATGCAAACACAAAATTATATCAACATGCTCTTTTGATCTAAATTTCCGCGCCTATACTTTGCCTTTTATTATGAAGGTAAGCCTGTAAAGTGGGAGTAGTTTTCTTTTCTATGATATTTTTGGTGGATGAATGACTTCCGAAATTAGGGTGCAAAATATATGATCAATAAAATTTCCCATAATTCTGATTCACTGGAAATGAATAGGTAAAGTCGACATTTACTAAAATAGATTTTATTTTCATGACCATACGGTGTATACTGACTGATTAAATGCAACGTCAGAATATAAGCCCATCATAAATCCAACGGTTTATGGGGATCTTCTCCAATGATCCCCGATAGTTCGACACTTAAATTGAGTCAAGCAACAACAACAATGGTTAAGTACAGAGTGATTATATAGAATTTCACTCCGGTCGATAACTTTGGTGATATAGTAACTTGATAACCCGAGGTTCTAATTCTTCGTTTAGGCTTATGAATGGTAGCACGTAGCAAAGTGAAACAAGTTCCCCAATCTGATGAGCGTAGCAATGTTCACTTTCTATTGTCTTCTTAGGATTTCACACATAATGTAAAGAAAATAAGGAATTCACAGAAAATGTCTGCAAAACTAGAAAATTCTCTAAAAACGAAGACTTCTCATGACCCTATGAAAATCAATAGAAATAAAAATGAGCTGAAACAGCTTCGACAAAAACGGGAGATGGCCACTTGTGTATCACAATACTGTTTTCAATACTATATTTTAAAACTGAATATAATCCTGTACTTTCGGCTTCTTTTTGAACTACCTCCGTTTATACAGTTATTTGCCAATGCATACTATATTTACGATTGTTTTCTTCAAGCTATTAAAATGCTCTTGCTTAAAAAGTACCTTAACAATAGACAATTAGATTAAGCAGTCGTGCCACAAGTGACTCAACTTCAATAGTCATGAATATTGTCTGCTCTGCTTCTCGTCCACTCTTTTCCTCACCCTCCTTTTCAGCCCCCTCCAGACATCCTTGAGCCAAAAAAACCAGAAGGGACCATAACAACCAATTTCTGAACCATACGTATGCCAGGCATATTCGAAGCCACAAAACTGAGTGCGTTGACAAGATCAGGCCAGCTTTCGCCAAAACTGACTGAAGTCGTTGGTACCAATAGGGCGATGATTAGAGGCATGAGCTCAGGATCAAAAAGGTCAAAGAAAAAGAGAAAGGTATAGCACGCAAGTAGTATAGGAACAGGTTCCTATACCGTAACCACTGTCGATCGGAAGATTAGCCGCGAAAGCGTGCGGATAGGCGTACTCGGCGACTGGAACGTGAGACAGTAGTCTTGTCCGTACCTCGTGAGACTGTAATCTCATCCGAATCCAAGGGCGACGTGATCTGCTAATCTGAGCGTGAGATTGAAGTCTCATCCACAGATAATGCAGATGACACGCGCTGTTGACTGGGACGTGAGAATGAGGTCTCTCATGTATCTAGTATGAAATCTGAAGAAGAGGCATAGATCCCGCTAGGTTTGATGAGTCTAGCATTAAGTCTCAGATTATCAAATAGGGCACCGTCATCGATGTGTACTGGCTTGAGAATATCAATACTGACTATCTCGACGCGGTCGTGTCGATCAACCTTGAAGGTCTTTGCATGACTGGAAATCACGTGAAAAGGTCCTTCTTAAAGTTGTTGTAGAGGTTTGCGTACCGAATCGACTCGTATGAACACATGTGAACAGCTAAATAAATCTTGAGGGGAGCGATCTGTCTATGCTGTATACGAGTTGACATCGGAAGCAGTGTTCGGATATATTCAGATAATCGTTGGACGTAGTCTGGTTCACTGAAATTGTTACTGTTCCGTGGTGCGAAAAATTCCCCAGACAGACGCGATGTCGTACCATATACAAGTTTAGCGGGGGAAAATTGAATATCTGCCTTTAAGCTCGTTCTCGTACCTAAGAGGACGAACGGTAAGGTTTCTTATCAATTGTTGTTTGCGTGTGCTCGAAGTGCACTTTTAAGATGGCGATGAAGCCGTTCAGTTAAACCATTTGATACTGGGTAGTAGGCGGTAGTGCATATGCGTTCCGTACCAAGCAGCCGGGTCAGCGAGAGGAATCCTTCGGACCCGAATCGTTGTCCTCGGTTAGTTATGACAGTCGAGGGACAACAGTACAGCCGTACAGTACATCCGTCGTTCTACGAAGCGGTGAGCGACTGTCCCGCCGTAATAGACGTGATGGAAATAGCTTCGGGCCATCTTGTGGAACGACCGACGCACATGAGTATGTGATCATACCCGTGCGATGGGCGGCGGCCATAGCAAGGAGATCAAGCACCGGAAAAGTGACTGCATTCACTTGGATACGTGACAGAGCATCTGCAATGTAGTGCAACTCGCCTTCAACATGATGGTATGTCGTGAACTGAGAGATATAATCAAAAATAGTCATGTCCTTGAGTGATGTTGTATAAGTGGGTGATGGGATAACTATCAAAACGTGTAGCTATGTTTGATGCTCGGTAGTCGCATCATGGCCTCCAACTAACCCCATCCTTTTTGCATACCATGTGGAGTGGTGAGGCCCAGGGACTATGAGAAGAACGAATAATACCAGTAACTAGTAAATTGTCAAACTCATGTTTGGCGAAAGCTAATTTGTCAAGTGCCAATCGGCGAGGTTTTACCGTTACTGGGGGTCCGCAAGTGACTATGTGGTGTACCACATGATTAGTCACCTATGGGATCTCCTCGAGGGATTCACTTTATTGGAACAATTTCAGGAATAAAGCGTGGAGTATATCGTCACGCGAATGAAATACACCTGTGATTCGGCACGCGTTCACTTGAACTTTAAAGCCCATACATTTACTTTTCGACGAAGTATCGATTAGTTGTAGCTTGCGTGCATCGACTAGCAGTTCATAGTGCTGTAGGAAATCGATACCGAGTATGGCTGTGGGAACACCGAAAGTGATGAACGTCCACAGATACTGTCGTCTACTGCTCAGGTTTACCGTAAGTTGTCGTGTATAATAGGTGGAAGTGACTGAGTCATTCGCAGCGCGTAGTGAAAGCATTGTAGTGTGAGACTTACTGTTACCAATAGGTATGACAGAAACTTGGGCATCTGTGTCCACTAGGACTTAGTGTTAGTGCGATAGTCGTGCACATAGATTAACCGATCAACGTGAATTGAGGGGCTGACGAGTACGGTCGCATTGACTCGCCGTCTCAGGAGTTTTCCAACTTGTAGGAGCAGGGGCTCGACAACGGTGGGCACCGGACCCGAGGGCACGGTGGAATCAGCACCAACCGAAATTCGCCTCCAAAACCGCCTTTTGGTGTGGCTTGAAAGATGCCCGTTTATGGCAGGTTGTTACAGCTTTACTAGAATGTGACCTTGCTCGAGGGACGTAGGATTCTGGTACATTCGGTCGGCTTATGGATTTATCGATATCCCTCACCGATCCAAATGCCGAATAATTCACACCACTACTAAAGCTTGTTATGAAACTTCGTCCTCTTCAGTTTTCATCTGAGTTAATGTAGATCCACAGAGTATTAGTAGCTGACGTCTAATGTTTTTGAATGAACACATCAAACCGCACCGTTCTATCCGCCAGGAGATCCTCTACACCACACTCTCTTCAGCCAAACCTAACATGAATTCCATGATCTAGTCAAATGAGAAGTTTACTCATTTATACAAACTTGATCTGATTTAACGCGTCCCAACTGAAGTCGTTATTGTTCGTCCATGCATCTTTCTGTACATTTAACTCACGTCTGCCAAACGTTTACGTTTGTTCACTAGGTTTGCTGTCGTGGTTAGTCATATTCTTTAAATACCAGAAGCGAACCACGTGATCTGGTTTAGAGAATGCGAACCATTCGGTGGAATGACGAGAATGTTTACCAATAAATCAAGATAAAGAAAAATTAATGAAGCTACCTGGTTAGTCTTGTTAAAAAGATTCTGAGAAATCTAGAGTAAAAACATTCCCGTTTGAAATCGAAGTGAGAAAACACAGATCTTTCAAGGCCAAAACACCTGGACTTGTGAAAAAAACTCACTAAATTGCAATAAATAAGTGCAGCAGTCACATAAACATAGTCAACACACTGAATTCTGAAGACGACTGAACTTTCCATAAGTTTGAGAAATTATGAAGTAAAAATCTAAACGAGCCGCCCGACTGATCCTACTTTGTCAAGAATATCGTAAATAATAAACAATATACATGTAGAGTAAACATCAAAGTGACAATTGTTTCTTTAACTACCGTACAAATCGACATAGACGTTACGATATCCCTGATGGCCGGTACCAATCGTTCAGTAAACTGTTCAACTGCACTACAAAGGTTGAAACAAGATTACCTGAGGCTTTCAAAGGACCCAATACCCTACGTGACTGCAGAGCCACTCCCAACTAACTTGTTTGAGTGGCATTATGTTATCAAAGGACCTGCTGATTCACCTTATAAAGGAGGTTATTATCATGGGAAACTTGTTTTTCCAAGAGATTTTCCATTTCGACCTCCTTCAATATACATGATAACACCAAACGGTAGATTCGCATGTAATACGAGGTAGGCAATGATATAGTGTGGCTGATTTTTCTTGTAGACTTTGTCTATCAATAAGTGATTTCCATCCCGACACATGGAATCCTGCATGGTCTGTTTCATCTATACTTACGGGCTTATTGAGTTTTATGTTGGAAAATACGTGTACCATGGGTAGTGTTGTGACTACAACAAGCACTAAAAAGCAACTAGCTAGAAGCAGTGGAGATTTTAACCTGAAGTCTGAGATTTTCTGTGAATTATTCCCTGGAATCGTTAAAGTAAGCAAAAACTCCAGTCTTTGTGGTATGCTAGTCAGCAGTTACATGCACTAATAGTGTTACCAGTAACCGATGTGCAGAATTTTGTGCATCTCCACTTTTTTTTGCTGACTCTCAGGACTGATTCAAGTTAAATGTAAAAAGACCAAATAGTAATAGCCAAAACACGAGAAATTTTGTGATAAAAACTCGATTTAATTGTGGGGTTAGGAGTTGCATTTATAAATAGTATTGAGGCCTAGGATTTCGAAGTAACAGTCATGAGACCAGTGAGAAATGCGTTGCAACCAAGTAAATGCATACTGATGCAATCGGTCAATTGGTTATTAACATCAAAGGTGAATAAATCATAATCTCTGTTTTTTAATCCTCCAAGTTTTTCATTTTTAACCGTCTTGGAATCTGACACTGATTTGAAATTACGTTACATGTCGAGTTTCTTCAGTCAGTCACAACGTAGAACTTCGAAAGTACGTATATCAGTTCCAGTTGCCATACCACCACTCTAAGAAATTCGACAAAAGAATTTCTTAGAGTTTATTAAATGTCCGAAATCATGTTTACATTCTGTCTTATTCATTTTTCATGAGGATCTATTAGCTAAAATAAATAGCTATTGGGTCGTTTTTGCCACTAAGTGCAGAAGATTTATCCATTTCTAAACAGATGGAACCATAAAATGCATGACTCCATCGAAAATCTGTTTACTGTATGTAGATGAAAACTTTGTTGTAATTAAGCAAGATCGATTCGAATTGTTCGAGGCGGATAACATATCAGTTAGTATTAAGTTTGCCAAAGAGATCAAATCAACCAACCACAAACTAGAGTTTCCGAACTATTTAATTAAAAAAAACACATTGATAACTCTAATCATTATTTTCCGAAAATCGACACCCTTAGAAATTTCTAGACCGCGGACCTTGATATGCTTTCTCAGAGGTCATTGTTAGTAAAAGAAACGAGTCGGGCTAAGAGATTTCTCAATCAGTTTTTCATTATGGTTCCACATTAATACACATATGTGTGATTTACAACAATGAAATAATACTCATCGAGCAGTTACGCTACATAATAATTATATAATGGAATAGTGATTAAAAAATAACATTGAGCAATCGAAAGGAAGAGGATTATAATAATCAAAGTAATTATTTGAAAATCAAGCGGTTGATACGTTGCATAATATATAAAAAGAAGGGACTAATAAAATATTTTGATGAAAGGTCAGTATTATAGTAGTCATGTGAGAGTCAAGGGATAAATGCTGAAAGTAAAGTACGAAAAATGGAAGAAACTCAAAAATAGTTTATCAAAGTTCTGCTATCAACTCACTCCTATATTGATGGCCAAGGTAACGGGAGCGGTTGTAAAAACTTTTGGATACAAAGGTTTGGTTTGTGAACATGAATTCCAATGGCTTCAGCAATGTGCAAACAATGAAACCGTAAAACATGAGACAAAATCAATAGAATGTGGTGGATGACCTCAAATTATTTATTTATTTAAACACAAGTTTTGGTACAAGGAAGCACCAGATAAATATGCGCCTCACAAATCTCATTTGATTTGTGTGAGGGCTGTGATACTAACCAGTGCCCAGACTGAAGCAGGTAGTTTTCTTCGGGGGCTATACCCCGAGCCTTTGACCTGAAGGTCTAGTCCACAAGGCAGTGGAGCATCGTGAGAAGATGCAGTCCGGTGACCAAATAATTGGTTCATACGCCATTTGTTCCTTCAGGATGCTGGAGCCCACTTGCACCATTGGTTTGGAATCAGGGTTTTCCAACTCCCCTAGGTGAACTTTCCATGTCGACCAACCCGGTTAAGGCGCCGGACATTCGCTTTTCGTCCTCTCAATTTCGTAAACAACACCCCTGCTTCAGTTTGGGCACCTGAGCAGTATCACAGCCCTCACACAAATCAAATGAGATTTGTGTGGCGCATATGTATCTGGTGCTTCCTTGTATTAATATTTACGTGTCTAAATAAATAAACCCGCCACGAGAAGGCAGTGAGTAGGACTTCCCTGGCAGAGGCTACATATTTGCGTGGCCATGTGAGAGCATTTGGAGAGGGAGAGCGGACTCTCTCCACTCTCAGCCGTACCGGGGCATTTGGGGGCTTCAAAAGCTTTATTCAATTCAACTTGATGACCTGTGTCCACCAATTGAGCGAGAATAGTACTCTTATTCACTCTTACTTGTTCTTTGCTCAACTAAGACGGATGGTGTTCTGTTATGCAATGACGGATTTGTAGAATTGTACGCCCTATATAACTGGCTCCACAGGGGCAGTTGTATCGGTAAATACACATGAATGTAGCGAACTCAGGCAATCTATCTTTATTGACTGTTCTTATTATGGGGCAGTTGTAGAAAACGGTACCTTTGTTCTTCTTTTCATCTCTTTCCTGTGTTTGTGATGAATGTCGTTGGGTATCCATTCCTACTAAGCAGGTTACGAATATTGATCAATTCATCTACAATGGTGTTACCCGAGCAAATCATTCTAGCACGATAATTCGGGATCTTCATTAGGTTGCTTTTGTATCTGATTAGTACTGCACTATAGAACTAAGTATAATGTCCAACTGTAGACTTTATATGTATCCCTCTTTTTAATGTCCCATCTGCTCTTCTGGTTAGTTCGACATCTAGAAACGATATGCTATTATTCTGTTCTTCCTCTATTGTAAAAGTAACTGATGGATGAATACGATTAAATATATCAAGTAAATTTTCCTTTCCATGTTTTTTCTAATGCTATGAAAGTATCAGCCCTATAGCGACAGTGAGATGTTAGGTGACTGATTGTGTTCCTAAGTGGTTCATTTTCTAGTTTTGCGAGAAAACTGCTCCTCACACTCCCCAAGCTGAATATGTACCTTCAGGCTAGTCAAAAACCTATCGAAAACTGAATATAACAGTTACTTTCAACGATGTAATGGCAGCGTACTTACAAGGGAAAGAGCTGAGTCGTAGTACCATTTTATGGGATGAATAAATTCAGCCACTTTCGATGTAGGGCCAGCAGTTATGGTTAGGAATTGGCATTAAAAAACACTTTGTAGAGACGTGGATTTCGTTTCAAATTTCAAAAACTGATAGAAGCAGTCGAGTTCGTGTATCTGGGTAATTGCAAGTGTTAGTGGTGACTTGAGTGATGAGATAAATTTACGTATAGTGAAAGTCAGAGCGACTTATGCCAATCTGGGCCGTCTTTGGCGCCTTCGTGATGTTAGTCTGGCTGTAAAAGTTCGGATTTACAACACGTCGATAAGAGCAGTTTTACTTTATGCTTATGAAACCTGACCTTTCCGAGTTAATGATGTTAGACGACTCTCTGTGTTTCATCATCGTTGTCTCCGAAGGATCGCTGACATCCAGCTGCAACACCATGTTAGTAATGCCGAGGTTCGGCATCGTGCGTTCGGGCACAGCGACGATAATTCGAATGGTGTCTCTATCTTGAAACATCGACTGGAATATGTCCTACGAATGTCTTCCCAGAAAATTCCACATGTATTATATACTGACGCTGGGATTGGTTGGAAAAAGCGGAGAGGTAGTCAATGTAGGACATGCTGTCGTGGTATGAGAGAAAGCTGTACATGACCAGCTTCTGTTGGTCCTCCTCGACTCCCTGGTTGGGGTCCTGGAGGTGGTGCATCACAGTGGCTAGAGACGTTATCAGATAAGACTCAAAATAGAAGCCAGTGGCGAGTCTGCTGTAACCTTTTACTTTCATAAAAAGTGGTTGTAACTCCTCTTACTGAAAGAATTCTTTCCGGTCGTACCTTTCGGTTTCTTCCATTATTATTATTGTTACTACACTTCCATACACTAATCTATGGTCGTTATCGTTCTTTTTTCTCCTCTCTTATACGCACGTTACATTCTTTTTCTCTTCCCATTGTTGTTGTGTGACACATATATATCTGGTGCCCTCTTGTACCTATGGCAACATAGTATAGTGTTAATAGGTGAGGCCTGTTGCTCAGTTTAATGTCGAATTCACACACCGAAGGCTTCATAGTGTAGTTTAAAGGATAGTTTCAAGTTTGAGATAAGGTTTTATGAATTCGGGCCACTAACCAAGTGGCGAGTGTGGAAGACAGAAGGTTCAGTAGCAAACACGAAAAAGTTATGTTTCAGATTCATACTGTCTGCTTGGATACAATCCCGTCAACACTAACAAGGATTAGATGTACACGACATTGGTCACTGCTCAGTGGTCAATCAATAGTAAATAAAAATTATAGTTACGCGTCCATAAATATACATCTATAGGGAAGTAAAAATCCACTAAGTAATCAGTGATTTGTTCTGAAATATGAAGTTTGGTTCTCAGTTTGATTATTTCCGCAATTCACATTTCAAAATTACCAACATCTTACGTCTTCCTGTTTTAGGAGATTCGCGAAAATCTGACAGCCGAAGAACTTCGTAATAAACTTTTAAATTCATCAAATCCACGTCAGTCACAATCTGATGCAAGTACAAATAACTCCGGAGTAAATATTGAAAACAGAAATGAGTGGCGTATCTCCAAATTATTTGTCCTGATCGTATTTAGTATATTTGCTTTTCTTGTACAACTTGTCATGAGATTTCTAGAACCTATTTGATAAGCTATCCATATTTAAGCGGTTATATATACTCTGCTACGGTTATTTCACGGTATAAACAGATTATGACGACATGGTAGTGATATTGTACACTGGTATGTGGATATTATTGTCTCTTGTCTACTCTATTGTTCTTTCAACTGTGTAAAATTACTTCATGTATAACTATCCTGTGATTGACTCTTGATCTGAATTTGTAATTCCTATTGTAACTATTTCTATTTTTTTTCTTTATGAATTTGTCACGATGACAGTAAATAGGAATGTTGCGCATGTATCATATAATATGCCTGTAATGTCTGTGATTTGTTAATGACCTTGTTGTGTAGTACTAATTAAAAAGTAAACACAAGAAAAAATATGTATAGTCATAATAGTGTGGACTGTTTTAACTTTTAGTTTATTGTATACTCACTACTGGTAAGTGATGTTTGTGATATTGTATATATACCAAGTCACCTAAAAATGAACACCCTCTCAGTCCATCCCCTTGTACTTTCTCCCAATCAGACCCTAAATGGGGCTTGCTGTTGCAATGTTTTGCGTCAAATGCTTTTTCGCACTAAACTATGGAGTGAATGCGAACCCTCCTCTACCGAAACACAAACATTATGTGCTGTAAGGAAGGTCTATCCATGTTCATCATTCAGTCGAAATCATATTGAAAGACATCCGTCCACTATGCTTAGTTTGTGGACGATTATTTAGAGGTAATTGCGGCACACGGTAACCGTCTTGTTTGGTTTAAAAAAACCGGTCTTTCAGTTGGATTAGACCTACTTACTGGAGCTCTTAAATCACGTACCACTACTACCGGATATGAGTGCCTGGTTTTTGAACAAAAGAGCATAACTTTTTACAAAGCTTGTCTTTCACTTCGTCCAAGCTGCACTGCGTGAAAACATACTACAATCGGCATGTAAGTCTTTTCTACGATATTGTGCTATTTAGCCAGAAAACACAAATGTTTATCAACAGAAAACTCGTTTTGCTTGTTTGATCACAAACAGCATCTACGAAATTATGGTGTTTTACCGGTTTTGTATATTAGCTAAATGACTCCATTTAAACGAAGATTTTTGACAGCGTACGTCAATAAAAAGACTAGATTCAGGTCGTAAAGCTTGTTATTGTTACCGGGAGCTCCGACATATAGGTTAATAGGGAGGGATCATGGGAAACTTAAATAACATTTTGTGATCTGAAATCCGCGACACTAGTGATACATGAGCTGTTGTAAATCAAACAACACATAAGTATGTACTATAATAACAGTTATCGTACGATCTATCTTATCTGTTCCCGGACTTTATTTAATTACTGCCCGCACTTTTGCTGCTTCCGAATTCCATCTCCAAATGACTGCACATCTGTTTTTACATACAGATATATAATTATTATTGATAATCCTTGTTACTCTGATCCCTTTCGTCATCAATGTCATATGTAACTAGGCAGTTGCGATTTACTCTGTTTGCAATGAATTGTTAAGAACTTGCATACAACAAATAAAATTGGAGTCAGATCTCAAAAAAAGTCTGAACCGAACCAACATTATTACAAGCTATTTAACAAACAAGTTCGGTGTTTCGATATTCTGTGACGAAGATTGTCCTGGGACTTCATACTTACGCACATATATTAAACAACTTTTTTCCGGCATAAAAATGAAGCCAAATATAATTATATATATGAATTGTGTTTATATTACATATTGCTATATTGGATTATAATGTTTATTCACAAATATCGCATCAAACTATCATCCTTTGGATAATTTTTATAACCTTTTGTGAATGAACGCGGTTTAAATTTCGAATAGATGTTTTTATTTCTTGAACGAATATTGTATTTTTCTTCTTCTCCTTCTTGAATTTCCATATTGGCATATTCCAACAATAATTTTGGAACTTTATCTAAATTACCAACAGATTCAAAAAGCTGGCAAATTCCACGTGACACTGTTCTGCTTGATGGTTGTTGCTTTAACAAAGTTTCATGAATAAGTGTTATAGCCTCACCAGATTTACCCATACGACCAGTTCGTCCAATTCGATGAACATAATCATCTAATTCATTTGGGAGACCAATATTGATAACTGCGAAAACATTGGGTATATCAATACCTCGAGCAGCAACCTAATAAATGACAAATACATGATATTGTTAGTAGCCCAATTACAAGCAAAATAGACGAGTCATATCAACACTGCAACTTAGAGTAGCTAATGTGTAATGAACCGTTACTTTTACTGTGACAGAACTAGTGACATTAACATAGTGTTAAAACACATATTGAAATGGAAGTTGAAACAAATAACAGTATGTTGAACTGACAAGCTATTTTTAAATTAAATTTTTGAAAAGGTAATAAATAATAGCTCTTTTTTTCTAAAATGCTTTTTGATTATGAAATAAGCTTAAAAATCCATAGTTCTTACAAAATGTTGCTGAGTGTTAGGATTATAAAACCAATAGTGAGTGAACTGAAAACAAACCACGATAGTAACACACATGTGTTATTCAAAAATCTTTGTGATATATAGCTTACATAAATAGACCAGGATAACAGAAGCTACAATGAGAATTTTAATCTCAATAATAATAATAATCGAGAAACATCACAGTACCCGTCCGTAAAACTAAGCTTGCTAACTGATGGTAGCTAGTTCCGGGTTAACAATATCTAATAAAATTTCTAAAGTCTATCGTAATAAAAAAGTTTGTTACTTTGATGCAAATACATTAAGAATGTAGCCATAGTACACTATGGCTTGTAGACAAGACTGGACACTGAAATGAGTTATCGGTGTGTTGTTTCCGTTTAGCGGAAAGCACATTAACTCAATTAGACTTGATGTTTATGTATTACATGGGAAAATGTAGGATTTGTTGATAAATTTGAAATAAATTATAATACTACGGAAACAAAGGAGAAACAGTGAAGTGATGCCTATAAATAGAGGCTTTATAGCTGAAACATACAACGACAAAATTTAAATCCTACTCTATGCAAATTAGACTAGCATTTTGACGGGAACAATAATCGTCAATGGCATGTATTTCAGGGGAATAATCTTTGAAATGCAGAAGGCGGCAAAAAGACGTCTTACCGATGAAGCGATGAGAACATTCGCTGTTCCTTTACGGAATAGATCTAAGGATTTCGCACGAGAATACTGATTTTTATCACCATGAATAGAGGTCGATCTTACGCCATTGGAATAAAGATAATTATCAATTTGGTCAACTTCCCTTTTTGTATTACAGAATACAAGAACTCGACAAACACTTTCTCCACATGTATCCAAACCTGGAAACAAGACGATATATATATATATGAGAAAAAACTAATGTGGAAATTAACGGTTTAATAAATTACTGATATCTATAATCATTTAAATTAAGAAATTACGAATGATTTCTTTTGTTACTAAACATCATAGGTCGTGACTGACTTGTATGATATTAAAATGAATACATTTATTTCAAGAAGTAATTCAATTGAAATACTTATGATATTTGTTTACTGTAATGGTGGAAAGACTGGGGAAACGAATCAATGCGATTAAAAAAAGACATATTCATCATGAAGTACAAACAATTATCAAAAAGAATAATGTATATGACTAGGCAGTTCTTTTCATTAATGTTGATAATAGTCGTTTTATTGAATAATGTTTAGTACGGTACAGAATTCTGGGCATATTTGCAAGTAATTTCTTGTAAATAACTTGCCCTCTTTTTCAAGTGTTTTGCAACTGAAATGACTAAACGAAGTCAGTCACAACGTAGAACTTCGTACATACGTACATCAGTTCCAGTTGCCATACCACATTAACACAGAGATACAGTTGCCGATTCAAACCCCATAGTGGTAGAAGTGGTAAGAGTAAAAGCAGTAATCCGAAAGATTAGAGTTTGAAGATGTTATTCAAGGAGTATAATCCAGTGAAGCAAATTTGAAAGGAGAAAAAAGAAAGGGACATGAAGAATTCAGAAGATTAGAATTTGGCAGAACACAAAGAGTGGATGCACCTTTGCCGTTGCAAACGATTTTGAGCCATGTCATTCAAAGTCTCTAAACATCGATTGCTATCATCTCGTGAATCAAAACCAGGTAGTCTACACCTACCAACATGACTCAGTCCACTTGTCAGCGACTTCATGGATTTGTGCCATGTTTTGATCTGGCCGCCCCTAGCTTTCTTCCAACCTACTCCTACACCATAAAGCATTGCACGTCGGGGCAGTCGGTGGGTGGGCATACGTAACACGTGTCCCAGACATCTCAACTGAAGTTTCACTACTTCATAAATTGATTTGCTATCCTCACCTATTACCCGTTTCCTAACAACTGCATTAATTACTCGGTGGTCTGAGGATATACGAACAATGCTTCGAAGACACCTATGATCGAATACTAGTAGCCTACGAATATCCTCTACTCTTACCGGCCACGTTTCACTGCCATAAAGTAGGACGGAACGAACTGCAGCGTAGTAAACCCGTTCTTTGGTTGCTAAACGGACTAAACGAAGTAGGAACATTCATTCAATACTATTGGATTGAAACTATTCACTTTATACGATACATAATCCATAGGATGTGTAGTCTCGAATTTTGTATGAATGCTTGAGTGGCTTTATATATTGAATTATTGAAACGATTGATTCAACATACGTTTTAATAAAAATCAATAAAACGTTAGCACTATCCAATTACAGCCAAATAAAAGGCAATAAGCATAAAAGAGAGTAGAAACCTACTTGAGTTATCATAGTAGGTGGGTCAGACTAAAATGTGGTTCAGTCGTGTATTATGTATATGATATGAAAGTCTACTTTATTCCCTATATCAAAGACAATTATATTTATTTCGATAATGTAATGAGAAGACGAAGATTATCAGAACTATGTGATGTATTAGCGCAATACATTTCGAACAATCTGATCACACATACTTGTTAAGAACATTTATATATATATATATATATATATATATATATATATATATTCAGGGCACAGCGAGACCTACTGTAGCCTTGGTAGAGAAAAAGCCTGTCTACATCACCTTACCATTTAGAGGTGATTCAACCTTTTATTGAAACAAAGGCTTTAATCTGTTATCAACAAAACGTATAGTGCGGCGAAAGTCATAATCAAGGAAAGAACGAGGTCCATGCTTCATTCAAAACCTAGACGACATGAAAACGATTGTGTCACATCCCACTGCGTTTACCAATTTAAATGTGTGTGTGGCCACACGTACATAGGGAGGAGTAATCGTGATCTGAAAATTAGGGTGGGTGAACATGTACCAAAATGGTTGCAAAAACAAATACAGTCGAATGACCCAATAAGAGTAGAGGATAAACATCCATCATCCTCTATTGCTAAACATATAATCGAAACATGGTAAGCAGAGATGGATAGTGGCTAGCAGTGGAATCCAGGATGCGCGTTTCGTCCTATTTGGGACTCGTCAGCTGGATGTACCTACATCTCAGAGTTGATGTTCACTCTGGCTCTGAGATGCAGGTACATCCAGCTGACGAGTCCCAAATAGGACGAAACGCGCATCCTGGATTCCACTGCTAGCCACTATCCATCTCTGCTTACCATGCTTGTGAATTAAGGTATATCGAGGCAATACGCACAGTATGCACATATGCCAATTAGA